TCAACAGTTTAATGTCTTATTAATCATGTCCCAAAGTACAGTATTAGTTCTGCAAGTGGTCAACAAATTGTTTATTTAATGTTATTTAGATAGTTAATTTTATTAAACATGTATGCACAAATAACTTTGGAAGGCAATATTACTCAAAATCATGTTTATCTTGACTCTAAGAGTGCCGTATTTTCACTTTCCAATAATAACTTAGGCTTGAAAAGTCCAATTTCAATGAATGACCCCTCATTTTAAAGATAACATACTCAGGTACATGAAAATACCAATAACTTGAATTTCAAATTTTGCTACAACTTAGCCATTTTGCCACAACATGCCTCAAATGAGATTTTTTTTAAAAATATCAACCTTTACATGGCCGAAAATGGCACTCTCAGACTGTGACAGATGTGTTGGCTTGGTGTGGGCCTACAGTATATTTATATGTTTTATGGTCTGCCTGTCCGACGAGCTCTGTGCAGCGGGGGGCTTGACCTGTCCGGTGGGGGGACTTAAGCCCCCTGCCATCCCGCTGGCGCCACCACCGCAGACGAGTTACAAATGAAGTGACCAATTTTATCCAAGCGGGACCTGTTTTAGCGGCTAAAATAAATCTGGAGGACCGTTTTTAGTAGTCTGGCGGACTGATTTTGGCGGAAAAAATCTGTCCGCTGGACATTTTTTTGCAAGGACCAATTATGGCGTGACAGGCCTACGAATCGCCTTATTATAATTACAGTTTGCAGTATTCAGTTTTGTCATGTAAATACCTGTAGGTTAGACCAAATACTGAGTTAAGCAAGGCTTGGGCCTTTGTCAAAATTTTGATATGAGGATGGTAGATAAATGACATGACCCTTAGGCCAAATAAAATTAATCATTAGTTTCACGTCCCCGCCCGCGCCCGCACCGATTTTGGAGCTGCATAGATTTTTTTTACTATTTCCTATTTTTCTATAACAAAAATGATCGTTTTTCCGTTAAAAAAAATGAAATATTTCGAAGCTTTTCAGTGGAATTACAGCATTCGCGACGACATTTCTAGGAATTTACAAACAGCGACTGGATTGATAAAACTACTCTGATCGTCGTCTCGTCACCACTCGCGCTGCACACATGGTTTGGGATTTTCATTGACTTGACAGGTCTCTTGTTTTTTTGTGACGCGAGGATGGTAGACAACGGAGGAATAAGTGGATTATGACCGGTTGAGCCGCCAACAAGTTGAGCTGCCGGTCATTTCTATCAAACGCC